TACACATTATTCCTGATAATTTTAGCATTTTGTGTTAACTCTCTCTCTCTCTCTCTCTCTCTCTCTCTCTCTCTCTCTCTCTCTCTCTCTCTCTCTCTCTCTCTCGCGCGCGCGCGCGTGCGTGTGTAGTATTGTAGTATGCCACTGTGAACCAGTTAGTACAGAGTCCGATAAATAATGCACGGGCTCCAAACTTCTCATTTTTCAATGTTACGGGTCCAGCATCCGTCCAGGCTTTAATATTTGAAATGTGATGACGTCATTAACCGTCATTTGTACTATCCGAATTTTAACTACATACTTCTCTTCTGAAAATTTATACAAAAATTGTCAAATAATGCAATCTGAAATAATAAAAAACAAGTAAAAACATTTTTTTGGTAAAATTAGTTTCATGACGTTTTTTAGCCCATGGTAGAAAAGGCTACTTCCTGCGTTGAGTTCTTTTTGACAGGTTTTGTGACCGTAAAAACAAATAGAATTACAAAAAGAACAATTGAGATTAAAATCTGAAAAGGAAGAGAAAGATAGACAAATTGAATTACAAAAAGAACAGTTGATTACAATTTGAAGAGAAGATAAAGATAGACAAAGAAGGACAACTATAATTAGAAGAAAAAGAAAAAGGCAAATATACTTACAAAAGGAACAAAGACAATTTGAAGAAAAAGAGAGATGTAAAAGGAAAAGGATGAAAAAGATAAAGAATTTCAACTTAGTGTAAAGGGAATTGAACTGCAAGGGACATGCAAGATTAATCTCCTGCAAATTAAAATTTTTAGGAAATATCAAGTTAGTTCCCCTTTTTAGTGAACAGGAAATTCACAAATATTTTATTCTTTTTGAAAAAGTTGCAGAGAATTCGAAATGACCAAGAGAGTATTGGAATCAATTATTGTAGAGTGTACTTTATGGTAAGGCCAGAAATATTTGTATATCACTGTCAGTACATCAAAGTTCTGATTACGAATTGGTTAAGGAATGCATCTTGAAGGGTTACGAGTTAAAACCTGAGGCTTATCGGCAAAAGTTCAGAAATTACGGAAAAGAAACTAGACAAACTTATGTCGAATTTTCTAGAGAAAAAGAATAGTTGTTCAAGAGATGGTGTCTGAGAAAATTGAACATGATTATAAAAGACTTGAACAACTGGTATTATTCGAAGAGTTCAAGAACTGTGTTCCTAGTGATTTTCAAAATTACATTGAAGATCATGAAGTAAAAACCTTAGAAAATGCTGCTCTTGTTGCTAATAAGTATTCCTTAACTCATAAAGTTCCTGCTGTAAGCAAATCTTTCACTCAGCAGTCTACTGAGAAAAAAGTGTTTCAATCAAATACGACTCTCAGTAAAACTCAATCTAGCACAAATTCTAAAAATCAAGCCTCTGAGAGACTTGATTTAAAGTCCACATCTGTTCCTACGTGAACCTATTGTAAGAATAAAGGACACGTCATTTCTGATTGCTTCAAATTGAAATATAGTCATCAGAATCAAGATAGAATCCCAAATGCTCTTATTTCTAAGAGCTCAAGGTCTTATCATGTGTTGAAAACGATACATTTGTTGGTTTGTAAAAACCTGTCTGATTGTGTTTTGGAGAATTTTGAACCATTCATGTCGAAGTGTTCTATATCACTTTTAGATGATGTGGCGAATCATTTTATTAAAATTATTAAAATTAAAATTTTGAGGGATACGTGAGCTTCTCAGTCTTTTAGTTTCAGGTATTTTGCTTTCTTCTGAGAAGACCTGTTCTAATCAGAGTGTTCTCATTTAGGGAGTAGAGTGCGGCTTTGTTAATTTTCCTCTCCATTCTGTTAATTTGTCATCAGAATTAGTTTCTTGACCTGTGACCGTCCGTCTAGTGTATACTTTACCCGTTATGGGCATTAATTTGTTGCCTGGCAATGACTTAGCTGGTCACACGGTTGTGGTTAATTCACTTGTAACTGACTAGCCTTCTTTGGATAAAAACATTTCATCCTATTGAAAAAGAAATCCCTGATTTATATTCAGCTTGTTCAGTTATCAGAGCTTTGACAAAAGTTATCAGAGCTTTGACAAAGAAAGCTCTTTAGAATGATTTTGATCAGGAATGTATTCCTTTAGTTGACACATGTAACAGCTATACTATTGATGATGTTACTTTCTCTTCTAATTTGGATCAGTCAAAAGGTATTGATCATAGCGATGATCTTTTGAATACTCATTCTCTTATCTGATCAGGGTGATAAATGACGAACACTTGTCATTGAACAAAATTATGATCTTGAGATCTCCTGTTAGTTTCAGTGGTCTGTTAGTGAAACTGAAGGAACTGAAGTACCTGTCTGTTATTTCTTTAAAAGCAGAGTTCTTACGAGAAAATGGAGACCTCCGGAGCTACCTTCTAGTGACGAATGGTCAGTAAAAAATCATATTGTGGTTCCGAAACCTTACACAAGAAATATTTAGTTTTGGCCCATGAAACTTATATAGCTGGTCATTTAGGGATGAATAAAACGTATCACAAGATCTTGACTCACTTCTATTGGCCAAAAATCAAAAGTGATGTTTGCAAGTTTTGAAGATATTGTCATATTTGTTAAATTGTTGGAAAACTAAATAAAAAATACCTGAAGCTCATCGGCAACCAATTTCAGCATCTGACGAACCATTCAGCAGAATTGTGGTAGATTGTGTTGGTTCCTTACCAAAGACCAAGTCAGGCAACCAAAATTTGTTGACCGTCATGTGTGCGTCAATAAGGTTTCCAGAAGTAATTTCTTTGATGAATTTTGCTCAGTTTGGTCTTCTCAGATTAGACCAATCTGGTCAAAGGTGAAATTTCAAGTCTGGAATGTTCTAGCTTGCTACACTTGAATTTGGCATTCAGCAGTTCAATTCAAAAGTGAAACTATAGTTTTACCGAAGTGTACTTGAGAGAATTACAGGACTCTCCTGTAATAAAGTCCATTCTCTCTTGCTCATTCTGCAGAATGTTCTTCAGTTAAGATTTTATGGCTTTTACAACGTAAAGAAGAAAATGAATGATAAATTATAATACTAGTACTCTGGTCTAAGTAAAGTAATGGAGTACAACTGTTTTAAAAGAAATAGCTAAGTAAATCATGCAATTGATTTAGTTGTACCTGCCTCACCAATTGAGTATTAAAATGCAAGAATTAGTTGGACTCTACTGATCTTGGATCAAAAAGTCTTCGGAATTTGGAAGTTATGGAAAGTCTAGACCAGAAACTTTCTGCTTTACAAAATCAAGAAAAAAGTGAAATTAAACAATTATTGTCTGAATATAAGCACTTGATTCCATACGTGCCAACAAGTAAAAAAAAATTAATGATGTTGAAATAGTTGATTCGAAACACACGAATCAACACCCATGCAGGAGGAATCCTTTTAAGCAGGAATACATGAAACAAGATTTAGTATTTACTGGACAATGATTTTATAGAGCCCAGTACGAGTGATTGGAGTTCACCGTGCATTCTTGTTCCGAAACAGGATAAAACTTTCTGAATGTGAACCGATTATAGGAAAGTTAACTGGGTGACAAAAAGAGACTCATTTTCATTATCATTAATGGATGACTGTATAGACAAAATTGGAAATGCCAAATACATCACTAAATTTGACCTTCTGAAGGGTTTTTGGCAAATTCTACTAACGGAGGGAACAAAAGAAATTTCGGTTTTCGTGACTCTAGATGGACTATACCAGTATAAAGTATTGCCTTTTGGGATGAAGGGTTCTCCAAGTACCTTTCAACACCTTATGAATATGATTACTTCTGGTCTAGACAATTGTGATGCATATATTGATGATGTCATCATCTACTACAACACCTGGAAAGAACATCTAGTCACGATTCTGAAGTTCTTCGACAGACTCACAGATGCAAATTTTACTATCAATTTATCTAAAGGTGATTTCTGCCTTGTGTCTGTTACTTTTCTTGTACATATTATGGGACATGTTCAGATTAAACCGATAGATGCTAAGGTCAAAGCTATTTCTGAATTTTCTGTGCCTGTCAATAGAAAACAGCTGATGCGATTTTGGGGTATGGCTGAGTACTATAGCAAATTTTGTTCTATTTTTTTCTGATATTGTTGAATCTCTGAAAAAAAACTTGATGAGAAAGAAAAAATAGTTTCTTTGGACTGAAAAATGTCATGAGGCTTTCGATAGGCTAAAGGCCCTATTTGAAAGTACACCAGTTTTAGCATCTTTAAGATTTCAGTCAACCGTTTAAACTATCTGTAGATGCAAGTGATGTTGGGGTTGGAGCAGTTTTGATACAATATGTCAAAAATGGTGTTGAACATCCAGTCTATTATTACTCTAAGACATTAAATAAACACAAAAGAAACTACTCAACAATCGAGAATGAATGCTTGGCTTTAATGCTAGTATTACCGCATTTTGAAGCCTATATTAACTCGGCTCTTTTTCCGGTTGTTGTGTTTAGTGATCACAAACCCCTCACTTTTATCAGCAGAATGAAAAATAAAAATCAAAGACTATTGAGATGGAGTTTATTTTTGCAAGAGTACAATCTTGACATTAGGCACATCAAAAAAAAAGATAATTTAATTGCAGATAGACTTTTCCGTGTATAGAAATGTCATTTTCATATGCACCATTTCGTTAATTCATAAGAGTTCTTATATAATATTTTTACCTCGTGCATAATTTACATCTGGTAAAAATGAAAGCTTCATTACAGAAATATTTCTTTTTTTCAGCCCTGATACAGCCCTGCTGTTAAATGAATTCTGTATAAATCTTATTTTTCATATTTATTTCATTTTTCTATCATAGAATGTAGTTAATAAAAATAATAATAATAATAATAATAATAATAATAATAATAATAATAATAATAATAATAATAATAATAATAATAATAATTATTATTATTATTATTCTTATTATTATTATTATTATTATTATTATTATTATTATTATTATTATTATTATTATTATTATTATTATCAGTTAAGGTGGCCTAGTGGTTAGTGCGTCCAACTCAGATGCGGGAGGTCATGGGTGCAAACCCCGGCTGAGTCTTACCAAAGACTTAAAAATTGGTACTAACTGCTACCTCGCTTGGCGCTCAGCATCAAGAGGTTATTTTTAGGACTGGTCGTCCAGGAGTCAGAATAATGTGACTGGGTGGGACATCATGCCACGTGTCTGTGGCATTATGCCCAGTGCTAGACATCACTATAAACTATCACATTGCAGACGTCGTAGCGATGTGACTGAAAAATTGCTAAAGCTACGTTAAAAGTCTAAATCACACACATTAATTATTATTATTATTATTATTATTATTATTATTATTATTATTATTATTATTATTATTATTATGCTAGCAGAGGTCTAATATTTTGTTAGAAACATCGTGTTTACTTAAATCGTAAATGTGATTCATGTAAGCACGACCTTTGTATAATAGCATATTTGTCGCAAGTAAACATTCAGAAGCAGCCATGTAAATGATTGGATGATATTTGGTAGCTATGTAAATGATTGGCTGATACTTGTTCAGGCTTTTCTAATGTCCTGATGGGTTACAAAATCACACTGTCTTTCGTGCGTGTGTACATGTATCAGTTTCTTTCATATGCTTAATTATCTGTAAGAAAGTTCAGTCGTAGCCGTTTTCAACATCTTAGACAGGCACATAGTTTCTATTACCTTTAAAAAAAGTTTTATGTGCTGGAAAAAAAAGTTGTCTGTTCTTATGTCTACATAGAACGACATGTATTTTGTTAGTGGAGAGAATTTCACATCATCACCTTTCTAAATAATAATTATTTTCCCTGGAGAACTACACAACTGGCTTTGGACTTTTTTAATCTGTCACGCCAATGCATAAATTATCTCTTTAATGCGTAAATGTTGTGGATAGTTGTACTCACTCTTTATCCACTATTAACCTAGTCAAGGTTAATTCTTGTTTTAAACAATTCAAAGAGAGAGAGAGAGAGAGAGAGAGAGAGAGAGAGAGAGAGAGAGAGAGAGAGAGAGAGAGAGAGAGAGAGAGAGAGAGAGAGAGAGAGAGAATTTCGTACCAAAATTGTGTTTAAAATCTTACTTTGAAGCCTTTTAAGTCTAGAACTTATTGTTATTTTGAAAGGAAACGAAGAAAGGCTTAGCTTATTCCATTCGAAAGGACGAAAGATAAATGATACTAATTTTATGCAAACACATTCAATGACATTGAGTAACGTTTTGAGAAACGTAGAAAGATATATCGTTTCGGAACCCTTGCAAGAAGTCCAGATTACCTCCCTTAACCATGATTTGTGTACAATATGCAATGAAATTCATTTAGCATAAGATATGCGCTAGATATCCACGTATAAACGACAGAGATTTGTTACAAATAAAATTGGCAGCCTAACCTGTAATAATAACACAAGGGAAGACACTAATCCGCACCCCTCGGTAGTTCCAACCCTGCTAGTTTATCATAATTGCGCCTGCTAATTTCCAACTTAAGCCAGTCTTAATTATGAATAGTTCAATTTTCAAAACAGCTCGACAAACTTTGTTCAGTTTGTGACATATTGGAGAAAATGCAATAATTGTTCGCCGATTTTGACGTTCTGACAAGAACCTTACTATTTGTGCCGTGTCCATTAGGGTAGTCTTGGATTTCATCATTTACCGAAAGGTACGATCCGAACAACCTAGAGTTTATTTTATAACTGTTAAAGTGACTATAATAAGTACTGACACGAATTTTCAAACAATAAGTATGTTTTAGGAGTTATCAATGCACTATAAAACAATTTAACCAGTAATCACCATCAATTTACCAAGATCAATATTTTGTTGGTTTTTTTCCACTAGAATTAAAACGCTTCACAATGTACATTAACGATATTTACTGCCTGACCCTAGGTTGTTCGGGTCTTTCCAAAAAATGCTTCGTTCTGGATACATTAAGAGTTTCTGAGGAAAATAGTGTCAAAATTGCTATGATCTCAGCAGTTTCTGAAATTGAAATAAATTTCTCTATCTTCAGAACCGTAATTTAAAGACAAATATGCTTTTGTAAAGAGGTGTGAAGGAAATGTTGACTCTCAGTCATTGTTATGAAAGTAAACGTGTACTTTTGGTCACAGATAACCAATTATTGCTTGAACTACGAAACTAGGATAACTGTTGTGGTATATTAAATATAATATTTAAAATAAATAACATCTCTAATTGGCTGAAAATATTAACCGAAACAAAATAAGTTTTTCAAAAAAGCATGCATATGGGTACATTGTAGGATTGAACATAAAACTTTTTTGAATCCCTGTTACCACGTATGTACTTTTGGATGTTAACGGGGATATCTCACCTGGCTGGATTTTATAGGTACATTTTTATAAAATAAAAAAAAGACGCCCAGTATATCATTTTCATCAGTTTTGATATGTCATTCATAAAATCAAAGTGTGATTAAATGATCTTAGCACAAAAGGATGGTAATTAGGCCAAATATTAATGTTATGATCTACGGAAATTTTGAAGTTATCTATGCCTATTTACACTGTGCAAGTTGGTTGTACCATTCTGCTATTATAATACACGTGTCGTGTATGATTCATAGCTTTAAAAATAAAAAATAGTTCCTAAATACCCGTATCTGCTATCTCAATCTAACAAAGAGTGTCCACAAAAAAAAAATAACTGATATTGTTTAAGGCTTTAGCCAGTGTTACACTCCCAACAAGTATTTACTCTGCTTCTTGATACGAGTTCCGGTATTGTGCCTAGTAAAATAACCATCAAAACTTATTTTCATTTACGGCAGAAGTCGGAGAATCCTGTTGCCTACGATGGACATCTACTTGTATGCGTCTTCGAAACAACTTCCTGACGGCCATACTGAAATCCCTACGCTGCCATGCATAGATCAATGGATTCATTATGCTCTTGGCAATTCCGACAAATACAATCCAGTTTGCAATTTTCCATTCCCATGAATGGATGTAATCTGTTGGATCTGAAAATGATCTGATTTGGAAATACGTATACGGCAGCCAACAGATGGAAAACATCAAGGTTACAGCGGCCACGACCTTAGCGCCACTAAAGTCTTTTAGCAACTTTCTCTCTGTCTTTATTTGGGTATTTTTGTTTATATCTAAAGCATCTGTCAAATGGCGTCTTCGGCTTGGACGTACTTTGTATAAGTATTTCCGTGCTTTAACTACAATTAACATGTACATAATGAGTGTAAGTATTGAAAAAAGTAACACATTTAACGCCATTATGAAGAGTTGCAGCGGTTTTACGATTAGTTGATATAAACAAGGAATGTCTCTCTTCCAATTGTTAAATCCAGTGAACGGAAGAATAAAGAAAATAAAAGAATATAACCATGACGCCGCACTAAGCAGATTCACTGTATTATTAGCCATTATGCTAGGATGTTTATGCGGATGGCATATAGCAAGATATCTGTCAAACGTCGTGAAGAGAACTGTTAGTTGTGAAGTCAAGGTCATCAGAGTCACAATCTGGTAACGAAGGAGGCAAGCTGCAAAATCACTCTGAAATGTACGGACAACGAAATACAATACTTGAGACCCGGCTGAGATTCCTGTGAATAAGTCGGCCACTGCAAGATTGATGACAAATTTGTTTATTGTTGAACTCCAACGAAGATACTTTAGGATCACAATGATGACGATAACATTTCCAAAGCACGCGAGAATACATATGATACTTTGAAGGATAAGAAACACAATAGATTCAATCCCCATCGCTTGGTTGTTGGTCGTAGAATTGAATACATCTCCATAGGTCTGGTTAGAATGAGATGGTAAAACGTGAACTGTTCCATTATTCTCTGGATCCTGCAAATAAATGTCATTCTACATAATTGATGCAGATGCACTAAACAAAAATATAAATAAATAGATCACTCAATCCATCTTCCTCCCACCCAACCCCACTTCCATAGGAAATATTTGGAAGAACTCAGTTGGAAGACGGAAAATATAAAAGCGCAATCTCTTCAAACCTTTGTACCTTAGTATATATTTAACAACAGAGGTCAGTATGAACTGACTTCCAATTAAACTAATTGATCGACGATCGTGAGTCATCTAAGCATAAATGACTTCAGAAACTATCCACCAACCATGTTTAAATCTCTACATATTTGGCAACTTTTTAGACTGGACAAAACTCTTGTATGTTTAAGCAAAATTACCCTTTTTAATCAAATATTTTGTTAGGAATATTTGTACAAATATGTAGATGACCTGATCAGATTTTCAGGCTATCTTAACATTGTATGTAATTTTTAAAACAGAATTTGTTAACAAGTTGGACTGGGGCTTTTTAAAAATAAAACCTTATGTGCATGATTACGCAAAAAAACTTTAGGTAGACAAATAACATTTGGCAGGCTTATTTGCATAAAAAAGTTGAGCTGTTTAGACTTTCGCACCTTTACAACGAATGCTTTTTTCTATCTTTTTGTAATTATATTGTTTTAGGTGCATATTTTAACTTTTTGGTACGTAGGCTTATAAAGAACACGTAAGCAAGCTTTTGCAAAGCTCCTTTTACTTAAATACAAATTTGTATGAATATTTATATTAATATGTTTATGATAATTTAACAAAAGCTTTAAAATGCAGATGTAGATGAATGGATGGTATTTGCAAGCCAATAAGGCAATTATTCTATCTTAGTGATTTTGATTTTACTTTGATGTTATTGGGCTGCAGTGTTTTTACAAGGACAAATAAGCTGCATTGGGTACAAAATTTCATTCTCGTGTCCAATCTGCTGGACAAATAAACTTATTCCACGTTAAACGTTTTGTATTCTAATGAAATTAATTGAACTATTTCAATTTAATGACAGGACTAAAATCCGGACTTAAAAAATCAGAGACCTTATATTAATCCTTACAAATTTTATTTGTTGACCTTTCTAGCTTATTTTCTTTAAATCTGTCAAGTACCAGTGCTAAAGAATGACAGTGTAACGAGTGCATAAGGCGGAAGGAGGATAAGATGTACTTTTTGTTATAAAAACTTCGACATAAATA